CGTCCCTAAACAGCTCTCTCTGCTGCTCTCCTGGTTTTAGGGTGACACCTCAGTCCCCAAGAGTGGGGAGTACATCTCAGCTGTGCTCTCTCCTGACTTCCAGGAGGCACCATGCAGATCCTCCCCCAGAGCCCTAAATCAGAGCCAGGGGGAGTCTCTCCGGGTGAAGGTGTCTGTAGCACGCAGGTGCTGGAGCGATTCGGGGTTCCCAGTGCATGGAGGAGGGGGGGGGTGTTGTTCATCATTTCACTGTCACGGTTAGGACACACTGAGAGCACGTATGCAACATCTGTGCAACAGATGTGCTGCCGCATCACTGCGCGTGGCTCTGTGTGTGTGCGTGTGTGAGCAGATGTGTGCTCGAGGCTTCGGTCAGCTCCAGCAGGCAGTGCTGCTCCGGCAGCATCCGTGTGTTCGTGCGGAATGGCACAGGCCCAGAGCCTGCCGTTGGGGTGAGCTGGAGGGGACAGTGCCGCTGGCTTTTGTACGGCATATTTGGCACGAGCAGACCGTCTTGGCAGAGGTGGAAGGGGCTGGGGTGAGGGAGCTTAGAGCCAGAGCCATTTCAAATAGCAAAGAGTTTTGTTCGGTTACTGCTGTCCTGAGTCTGGTGGTGTGTATTGGGGTGGGGGCTGAGCTCTGGAGGGCGCAAAAAGAAGGAGGATCACAACTTTTTGTCACCTGTCCCAGTAGATCAGTTGTTTCCCCACTGAGCAGTACAGATCATAATTTATTGTATGAGAATATATCCAATTCAGCTTCCAGCTGGTGGGTTTTTTTTACACCTTTCCCTGCTGGTTTAAAGAGCCCTTTGGTGTGTGGTCCCTCCTCTTCAGAGGCACCGGCACCACTGTGGCAGTGGCTGAGAGCTGGTCAGGGCTGAGGACCATGCGCGTTCCCCATCCTTGCTCTCCTTTCCGCAGACCATGCTCGTCAGCTCACCAAGTCCATGATGAGGAAGGCGGTGTTGGACCGCCTGGTAGCTCACCGGGAGGAAGACATTCAGAACTTCATCAGCTTCATCTCTAAAGAGTCCATCCAGAAGTCACTTCGCATGTATATGGAGATGCTGAAGAAGAAGAAGAGCTGAGGAGCCTGTCAGCCGGGGTCCGGTCCCAGGAGCTTGAGTGACCCTTTGAAACGCTGCAGTAGCTGTAGACTTTCACAGTGAAGCCATCTACAGCGTCAGCAGTTGGTGATGTGCTGCCTGCTCCCGTGGCCGCCCCAACCGCCCCTTCCCCTTAGTCCCCATAGAGTGCCTGACACCACTGCTGCCTTTCCTGAGAGCAGGGTGAGCTGCCTGCTCGGCTCCCCCGAGGAACGGGCAGGGAGAGGGTCATGGCACCACCGTGGGTGCCCAACGGTCCTGTGATATCCTCCTTCCTGTCCAACAGGTAATTGTGAAATGAGATTTGTCAATAAAATCTTCGATGAGGTAGGAGATGGGTGCTTCATTCTGTCTGCAGTTACCGCTTCCGGGCTGGTGGCCTGTCCGTGGGCTCTGGTTCGTGGTGGGCTGGGGGGGCTCTGCCCTGAGCCGGGGGGGCTGGGGGGGTCAGGGCACGGCCGGCTGCGGCCCTTCTCCAGACCAGGACCCGAAGCAGCCCGCGCATGGGGCTGATGGATGGGGCTGCAGGGAGAGCCTTCATGGAGGTTGGTGGTGGGAGCTGGAGCTGGATCGTGGTCTGTGGCCGCAGGAGGAGCTCAAGCCGTCAGCTTCACCTCCACCGGGTAGTGGTCGCTGACTGCCAGGGCCTGGAGGAGGGTGAGAGGTAGAGAGGTGTAACACAGGGGTTCAGCGAGCCCCTCGCCCCTCGCCGGGGCGGCAAAGCGGCTGTGATTGCCCTGCCAGAACCTTCTGCCTGCTGGAGGCACACTTGATGCCCCCAACCCCGAGACACTCAACACACAAGGCTCTAGTTTTGGCACCTCTCGTGGAGAGATGCCCAGACGTGGCCTGGGGCGGGTGCTGGCAGGGGCACGTCTGCCTTGCGAGACCCCTGTGTCTCGTTTGGGCACTCTGTGCCGGCTATGGGTGGTGGCAGATGGGCTCGTATCGCCCCACGCCCTGCAGTCCTGCCTGCTCAGGCCAGAGCCAGTTCGGGCTTCTCCTGGAGCTGCTTCAACTCCATTTTTGAGCTGATACTTAAACGCGGCAGCTACGTGGCTGCACCGGGCTGCCTGATCCCCAAGAGGTGTTGGCAGCCCCGCAACCAGGGCAGCTCAGCGTTGGTGCCTGTTTGAGCCCCAAATTTGTGACCCCAGCTCACCTCCTCCTGCTCCAGCTGGAAAGCACGCTGGAAATTGTAGATGGCAGCTGAATTTGGCACGATGCTTCTCTTCAGCTTGGCTCCGCACACCACGATCCTGCCAGGGAGACGCGGGCGGTGGGTCTCGCTCCCGCCCCTGCTCTTGGCCACTGATGGTGTGGGACGGGCAGGGGGGCACCGGCGGTGCTGGGGAGGGGGACGGCAGTGCTGCAGCGGCACTCCCCTGTCATAGGCGCAGTCCGACTTCCCC